AATATGTATGTACAAAATTAATTCCATTATTTAAATTTTGTATTTTCTGATAGAAGGATTATATCCAAACAAGACTTCTATTAAAAATAAGCAGAAGTGGGGCTGGAGCAATAGCACAGGGGGTAGAGCGTTTGCCTTGCACGTGGCTGACCCGGGTTCAATTCCCAGCATCCCATGTGGTCCCCTGAGCACTGCCAGGGGTAATTCCTGAGCGCAGATCCAGGAGAGCCCCTGTGCATCGCCAGGCGTGACCCGAAAAGAAAAAAAACAAAACAAAACAGAAGTTAAAAATTCTTCTTCTTCTGATTATCTAACAAAGAAAAAGTTAGGTAACACTTTAATTCCATATTAGAAAGCCTCAGAACAGCCCCAGGGCAGTATGATAGTTCCCCTTCTTGGCCTGCTCGACTTTCTCGAGTCTACTTTTCTCTCGACTCCAGCAGGAGGCACAGGATGTTTTAAGAGACTCTGTTTCATTTGTTAAATTGTAAAAATATCATGTGGACGTCTTAGACATCAACAAAACAAAACAAAACATAGCGCTTAAGCTTAACAGTGGGAGGAGAGCCACTTTCTAGTGCAACTTTCATTTTCATTCTTACAGCATGTGGTTTCCTGAAGGCCTATTTTTGTTCAGCACATATATAGGGAGCATTTAAAGGGCCTGGATGTGTTGGATCAGTTGCTCTGCGTGTGTGTGTGTGTGTATGTGTGTGTGTGTGTGTGTGTGTGTGTAGATACTTTATATAATACTTGATGATTCCCACCCACCAGCGCTCCGGGTTCCTGCGCCACATCCAGCCACGCTTGGGACACGATGTACTGGCCGTCACCCGCCCCAGGCCGCTGCAGGCATGCTTTGCATCTGCTTACCCCTTTGAACTCTCTAGGGCCCCCTAGCTAATACTTTATAGCATGCTGGCAGTTTGATTTTAAGAAGAATCTGAAAGTTGTAAAAACAAAAAAAAAAAAAAAAGAAAAAAGTAAATATTAAAGTTCAGTTGATTTTTAAGAGAAACTTGCAATAAAGCAATTTATCTGATCAAAAGCCAGGGCTTGCGTACTGCGGTACTGCGGTTTATAGCACTTCTGAGATGATGGTGGTGTCAGGAAGTCCTTAATAAGGTGTGAAAGAGATGGGGAATCAGACTGAGCTTTGTGGTGGTTGTTTTTGCAGCTCTCCTAATGGTGCTCAGGGCTTCTGGCTGTGAGCTCAGGGATCACTCCTTGGTGCTCAGGGATCACTCCTTGGAGAGCTCAGGGGATCATATGGGGTTCCGGGGATGGAACCCAGGGAGGCCACGTGCAAGGCTCGCACCCTGCCTGCGGGACTACCGCTCAGGTCCAGAATTGGAGGATTTTGTAAAAATGTGTCATAGTGATGAGACGTTGTATTAGCTACCATGCAGTAAAGTCTCAATATACCATTCTAAACGCTTGATATGTGTAGGGTCCACAGTAACCCACATGCAGGAAGTGTTTTCATAAGGAAGCTGAGGTTTAAAGGCAGAATTGAAGCCGAAGCAGTGTGACTCAAGGCCCAGGCTCTTAACTACCATCAGTATCACTCTTGATATTTCTTTCTTTTCTTTTTTAAAGTTTTTTTTTTGGGGGGGGGATGGCACACATCCAGCGATACTCAGGGGTTGCTTCTGGCCCTGTACTCAGGAATCACTCCTGGCTTGCGCTCAGGGGACCACATGGAGTGTCAAGATTCGAATCCAGATTGGCAGCATGCAAGGCAAGTGCCCTACCCCTTGTACTATCTCTCCAGCCCCTTGACAGTTAATTTTTTATAAGCAAATCATCCGTCTTTTTTTGCTGGCGGGTGGGGGATGGGGAGGTGGGGGCAGGGAAGGAGATTGGGAGCAGGCAGGGATCATATCTGATTGTGCTCAGGGATTACTCCTGATTCTGTGCTCAAGGTTCACTCCTGATACTGTATTCAGGGGTCACTCCTGGTATAAGTTGGGTGACTTTTTGTTTTGTTTTTGTTTGTTTGTGTTTGGATCACACCTGGTGATGCTCAGGGGTTAGTCCTGGCTCTGGGCTCAGGAATTACTCCCTCCCCCCTTCCCCCCTCCCCCCGGCGGTCCTCAGGGGATCACATGGGATTCCAGGGATTGAACTCAGGTCAGTCTGCAAGGCAAGCACCCCATCTGCTGTACTATCTCCCTGTCCTCTGAGGTGGGGAACTTTTCACAGTGCTGGGAATAGAATCGCTTCACTCGCTGTAATAAGTCTCTGACTCCCTTCACCCCACTTTTTAATTGAGGTGTGATGATTTGCTGAATAAGCTGCTTGAAATTTCTCCATAAAATTACCTAATGCTAGTCATACTATTGATTCTTTTGTTCAAAGAAAGCCTAACAAATATCTTTCTTTACAATTACTCTTTGTATACAATTTGAAGTACAGCCTAAAAGGTGCTGGGATTTCTTGTGAATAATACAGCTTTGCTAAAATTTTTTTTTCTTTCCTTCTTTTTTCTTCTTTTTTGGGTCACACCCAATGATACTCAGGGGTTACTTCTGGCTCTGCACTCCTGGGGGTGCTTGGTGGATGCTGGGGATTGAACCTAGGTCCGCTGTGTTCAAGGCAAATGCCCTAAACACTGTCACATCCAGCCCCACCTTGTTGAAAATGTACTTGACTAAAACCGTAAACTCAGACCTGGGATATTGAGTGTGTGTGGATTAAATAATTTAATTTGAAATTTATGCCTTCCTTGGAATCATTCCTTTCTCAGTCCCTGTAGACAATCTATGCATGTGTTTGAGCAGGTGTGTGTCTGGGGAAGACTAAATAAATTGATGTTTCGTCATACTTGGGAAGTAAATCATTTCATTTAGGAAAGAGAGAAGAGAGAGTCCCCATAGAGGAAGAGAAATTATGCACCCATCGTTGGGATTTGGGTGATACCAAAATGAAAAGTACCTAATTCTTGTCATTTTTAAAGAAACAGTGATGTAGTTTTTGGGGAACAGTCTGTGGAGGCTGGAGAGGTGGTCCGAAGGTTCAGGTACTTGCCTGTGGTACTGCTGTTGCAGCACTGATTTGAATCCCGGTACCCGGAGCATGGCCTGATGTGGCCCCTGGGCGTGGTCCCATTTGTTTGGGGTTACTATTTTGAATGAAATTGTGGCGTAAATAGAGCACTGACTTGGCGGTCAGGCCCTGCGTTGGAGGTTGGAGCAGGGAGGTGCAGAGGCAGTTCTCCATAATATAGAACAGAGAGGAGATAAAAATGAAGCCACAAGAAGCAAGTGGCCTGAAATCCAGTGTTTAGGCTGTTCCAGCGGAAGGAAGAAGCAGGAAAGCAAGATATTTTAGAGTTCTTGGAAGTTTAGGATGGAAACTGTGAGTAGCCTTTAAAAAATGGTTGGAAATAATAATGGGGAGGAAAACTTGTTTCTTATGAAATGCAAAAGCATGCATAATGGTACGCACAACCTGAATCCATGTTTTATTTCAAACACACACACACACACACACACACACACACACACACACACACACAGTGGTAAAGTCATCGTATATACCAGTATGTGTCATCAGTGATTGCCATGACATAATCTCTAGGTTCTAGAATAAACAGTTTTTCCTTTGATTTGTGTGTGTGTGTGTGTGTGTGTGTGTGTGTGTGTGTGTGTGTGTAGGGGGAGGGGTGATATTGAAACATAGTCCTTCAGTGGGAAAAGAACAAAGCGAAAGAATAAAAGAGACGCATATGTCACTGGGCGCTGGAGAGCAGTTTCAGATGAGCAGGATTAAAGTATTGCCAGGACACTCCCATGAGTGTCCTGGGACATGGTTCCTTCTCGAACACCACTCTCTTGTCTCCCGCTCTCTCCTCAGACTCATCCTTCTCTAAATCAACCTACTTTACTTCACAGGAGAAAAGAGTAATTTTTTTTTTTTTGGTTTTTTCTTTCTTGCTTTTTGGGTCACACCCGGCAATGCATAGGGGTTATTCCTGGCTCTGCACTCAGGAATTACTCCTGGCGGTGCTCAGGGGACCATATGGGATCCTGGGAATTGAACTCAGGTCGGCCACGTGCCAGGCAAACGCCCTACCAGCTGTGCTAGTGCTCCAGCCCCGAAAGGAGTAATTTTAATTTGAACTGGAAGTTGGACATAGAGCCCTTAACTCCCCCACTCATTTATTTTTACTTTTTAAAAATAATTTTTTTTTTTTTTTACTTTTTGATGTATTTATTTTGGTTTTTGGGCAACCCCGGGCAGTACTCGGGGCTTCCTCTAGGCTCAAGGATCATATCTGGCAGTGCTGGGGGACCATCTGGGGTGCCCGGCGTCCAACACAGGCCAGCTACATGCAAGGCAAGTGCCCTACCTGCTGTATTGTCCTTCCAGTCCCTTTTTTATGTTTATTTTTTATTTTTTGCTTTTTGGGTCACACCCGGCGATGCTCAGGGGTTACTCCTGGCTCTGCACTCAGGAATTACTCCTGGCGGTACTCGGGGGACCATATGGGATGGTGGGAATCAAACCTGGGTTGGCCGCATGCAAGGCAAACGCCCTACCCGCTGTGCTATTGCTTCAGCCCTTTCCAGTCCCATTTTTTAAAAAAAGTTTTTAATCACCGTATGTGACAGTTACAAAGTTATTCATTAATAAATTTCAGGCATACGGTGTTCCAATATCAAGCCCTTCCCCAGTGTCCACTTCCCTCCACCAATGCCCCCAGACCCCTCCCACCTCCAGCCTGCCTCTGTGGCAGCACGGTCCCCCCTCCCCACAGTCCCAGTGCTTGCCCGGCCACCCCTGCCCCAGGGGCAGGCCTCCTACTGCAGACCCCTGCTTCGCCCTGGCCTCTGGGGCTTCATTGTCCCCTTACACGCTCTCACTGGAAACTGGCCCGGGGAGACGAGCACAGCCCTGACCAAAGGGTAGAGGCTGATGGCAAGGAGTCAGGAGCAACGGGTCATTGATTCCCCTGGGACGTCCAGAGAGATTGAGTAACAAAACGCGGCTTCCTGGTGAAGTCCTGCTGGAGTCTGGCGTCTGGGAACCAGGAGCTTCCCCTGCTCCCGAGAAAGAGTGGGAGCACCTTCAGCCCCCCCCCCCCCCGGGAAGGGCATGGCAGGCACCCCTAAAGGAGACCGTGTGGAAGCCGAGTGCCCATTTACCCCTTCGCCCAGGGAAGGTAATGTACTTTTCAGGGGTCTGCTCTACTTGGGTGCCCTGTTGCCGCCAGCAGAAGAGCTCTGAGCAACGCATATTTATTTATTTATTTATTTATTATTGTTATTTTGTTCTTTGTTTTTTTATTTTGGGGCCACACCCAGCGATGCTCAGGGGATTTCTTTTTTTTTTTCTTTTTGGGTCATACCTGGTGATGCACAGGGGTTACTCCTGGCTCTTGCACTCAGGAAGTACTCCTGGCAGTGCTCAGGGGACCATATGGGATGCTAGGAATCGAACACAGGTCAGCCACATGCAAGGCAAATGCCCTACTCACTGTGCTATCACTCCAGCCCCTAAGGGGGTTTCTTGACTGCGTTCAGGAAGCATTCCTGGCTGTGCTCTGGGGACCATATGGGATGCTGGGGATGGAGCCTTGATTGGCTGCATGCATGATGGCAAGGGTCCTTCTGAGTGACATTTGAATGATGGGGCATGCTTGGTCTCCATTCAGCAGGTAAAGAATACTCTCTTATGGGCTGGAGCAATAGCACAGCAGGTAGAGCGTTTGCCTTGCATGCAGCCAACCCGGGTTCAATTCCCAGCATCCCATATCGTCCCCCAAACAACACCAGGAGTAATTCCTGAGTTAGAGAGACCAGAGTTACCCAGCAGAGCCAGGAGTTACCCCTGTGCATCATTGGGTGTTACCCAAAAAGCAAGGAAAAAAAAAAAAGAATACTCTCTAATGTGGAAGGAAAATATTCCCCACCCCCTTTCACTTCAAGAACTTTTAGTCTTGAACTTCAACACAAAGGTTTCCTTTCTTTCCCTATTCTTATTTATTTATTTAACTTTTTCCTTTGGTTTCTGTGGGGCCACACCTGGTGGTGCTCAAGAATCACTCCTGGCTCTGTGCTCATAAATCATTCTGGTGGTACAAAGGCCAGGGCAACATATGGGATGCCAAGGATTGAACCCAGGACAGCTCGTTCAAGGCAAGTGCTCTACCCTCTGTCCTATCGCTCAGCTCTCTTTCCCTCTTCTTAAATAGGTTTTATTTTATTCTTAGTAAACTCCCCACCCCCACCCCCCACTCCTTAAACTCTGACATATTGGCATCCTTTCTGCACCTGAGTGTTCTGGAAGCTTTTATTTCCAACTTTCCATTTAATTATACAAAGAACCGAGTGTATATTTTTAGTTGCTCCCAGAAGTGGGTTCACGTTTTTAAAATTGAATTCACTCTGTGAATAGAATGCTATGTTAAGGGCAAAAGTCTTCAAAGTATTTTTGTGTGATTCCTGAATAGTAATTTCTCTTCGTTTGAAATTCTGATGAACTCATTATCTACTTAGCTTCTCAATCTAAGTATATCGTATTTATAAGTGCCAGAAGAACAGGTAAGAAGAAGTATTATCTATATTTTATTCTTATTTACACTTTCACACAAAGGTGTTGGTTCCGTTTATGGAAAACAAGATCTATAAGAAATGTGGGTATTGACAAACTGTCCTCCTGTTGTTCATTGATTTGCTCGAGCAGGCCCAGTAATGTCTCCATTTTTTTTTTTTTTTTGAGACTTGTTGTTACTGTGCTTGGCATATTGAATATGTCCCGGGCAGCTTGCCAGGCTTTGCCGCGGGGGCGAGATAAAATCTCGGTAGCTTCCGGGCTCTCGGAGAGGGGCGAAGGAATCAAACCCGGCTTGGCCGGGCTGGCTGCGCGCAAGGCAAACGCCTTACCGCTGTGCTATCACTCCAGCCCATAGAAATGTAGGTATTGAAAAAAGACATTGTAAAACCAACACCAGGGAAAATAGAGTTTGGGGTAAAACTTATCCTAGGGTTAAGTCCAGTGTAGTCTCACTTCTGCAGTGAAACCAATGACCCAGTCTCAACTAAAGACAAGTAGAAACTTGAGTTTCCGTAGTTGTACCTTTGAAGTAAAGTGTCACATGACTTTAGAGGCATGAAGATGAAGAAGTGCTCAGTGAAGAGGCGAGGTCCTTGTCAGCGGTGTGAAGGACTTTAATGAATTTTGCATTTCACTTCCTGGGGGTCACCCCCATGGAAGTGCTTTTCAAAGTAAGACACAGAAGTCATGTTTAAGCCAAAGGCGGGGAAATAATGCTTTTTGGTTCTTGTCTAAAAGCAACTTTTTTTTTCTTTTTTGGTTTTGGGGCCACACCCAGTGATGCTTAGGGGTTACTCCTAGGTCACTCCCGGTGGTGCTCAGTGGACCATATGGGATGCTGAAGATCAAAATTTGGGTCTGCGGCAGGTGAGGCAAACGCCCTGCCCACTGTACTATAGCTCTGGCCCCAGCAAATCTGCAACTTCGAAATGCACTTTCTCTCCAACCTCATTGGATTAGTTCAGATAGCTCTAGCTGATAATTCAGGTGATGTTTCCTTCTTGGTTATAAGAATTATTTATATACTGCTGTCAGTTTAATCACAGTAGCTAAATGATTTGTTTTCACTTTTTGGTTGGTTGATTCGATTGAGGCTAGATAAAATCTCACTGACGGCAATTGCTAGAATAAATATACTTTGTTTACGTAATACACTTAATTCCTTGGAACACTGTATTTATTCTGTCAGCATTTTCATTGTACATAGAAATGACTTACCTGTTTTTTTTTTTTAATTTTATTTATTTATTTATTTATTTTTTGCTTTTTGGGTTGCACCCAGTGATGCACAGGGATTACTCCTGGCTCATGCACTCAGGAATTACTCCTGGTGGTGCTCGGGGGACCATATGAGATGCTGGGAATCGAACCTGGGTTGACCACATGCAAGGCAAAATGCCCGATCTGCTGTGCTATCGCTTCAGCCCACCTGGTTGGTTTTTAGTTAACCCTTCAGCTTGTTATTGTTTCCATCTTCCAAATAAAATATTCTTTACAGAAATCATTAATTTTGGAGTGTTGAGGATTTTTATTCTGGAATGAGTCAGATTTCCTTTGAAAGATCATTTGGAAAGATACAGAAACTATTGCCTGATGTTTAAACAAATTATAAGTGTGGGCTCTTTTCTACTTGTCAGAGAAACCTCAATTTTATGTATATGTTTTTCAGTGGATGTACTTAAGCATGAGTGATGACTTTACAGAATCAGCGAGATTTTGGAAATCAATAGCTGGAAATCAATAGTTGAATCGTACTCAAGCTTTTGTGTCTGTGCAGGAAATATTAGCATCCCCTGTCTTATCGCAATTCATTTCACTTTTTCTTTTGTTTCTCCCTCCACCCCTACAAAGACATGGTTTGTATATGTGAGCTGTTTGTGGTATCTGCTGAGAAAGGTGGATTCCATGGTAAACTCTTCAGGAAAAATCATCAGGAAAATTTGATATCATTAATTAACTGAATGAAACCTATGTTAGTGCTTAAATTCTGTTGAAGTAGTTAGAAGTTTCCTGTGTGTGTGTGTGTGTGTGTGTGTGTGTGTGTGGTGTATGTGTGTATGTTGTTGTGTGTGTATCATCAAATATGATTTACTACATATCATGTATGTGTGTATGTATTTGGGAGTGTAGGGCCCACCTCTGGTGGTGCTCAGGGCTTACTTCTGGTCCTGTGCTTAGGGATCACTCCTAGCAGTGCTTGGGGGATGGATAATACACAGTGCCAGGGATTGACTCGAGTCAGCCACATGCAAGGCCATGCACTCTAATCACTGTACTATCTCTCTGGCACCAAAATAGATTTTTAAAATCTGTGTGGTGTGTGTGTGTGTGTGTGTGTGTGGCGCGTGCATGTGTCTGTGTGTGCACGTGTGTATGTGGTATATTCCAATCTATGTGGTGTGTGTGCGTGCATCTGTGTGTGTGTGTTTGTGTTGTATTTCATTTTCAGGTGAACCTTTTAATCAGGGTGGATCATACTTGTTAGCTAGCATTTTTAATATTTTGATCTCTAGGTGCCTTTAAATTTTTAAAACTTTTGATTTCGGGGCCACCCAACTATCTCAGGGCTTACTTATGGCTGTGTGCTGAGGTGTCACTCCTGACTGTGCTTAGGGGACCCGATGGGTTGCTGGGTATTGAGCTTGGGTTAGCAGCCTGCAGACCAAGTATCCTATCTACCGTACTATTGCTCTGCTCCCCGCATTTAAACTTAATTTTATAGTTTTATTTTGGGGGCCAATAAAAATATCAGTAAAATAAATATAAATAAAATAAAAATCACAGAGTGAAGTTAGTGAAGATTCAAGTTTATATAGGCTGGGATCATTAAATGAAAATAATGGAAAAAAGTTGAGCAGGCTTATCCAATCAACTACCTGATGAGTGTGTCGGAAGAAAATCAGATACAATTCTTTATGATCATATGATAGAGTTAATTAAGTTCTCATGGAGTTCCAGTCAAGAGGATACATCATTCTTTTTTAAAGAAGGAACTAATTTGCATATCACCTTAGGTTTCGTTTGCTTGGCGTGCCTTTCCTGAAAACGAATTTAATAACCCCATAATATTTCCTTGTTAGATAACTACCTACATTTTGATAACAAGTGGAGACACAAGCTACATAATCTGAAAGAGAAAATGAAAGGAGCAGAATGCGTGCTTGCAGAGTGACAAGTGTAAGAATATACTTAACAATCATACTCTGAGCTCCGGCTCATTTTGTTTGTGTTTATGTGCTATGTGTGCATATAATAGTGCTGTGGTTTTAAGTGTATTTCTACATTAGCCATGTGATCAGCAATTTTGAGATTTTTTTCCCCTCCTATATTCAAGCCTTTTATTTGGGTTTCTAAAAGTGTTTGTGGTAACATTTGTTTTTGTTTTTTGCCTTTGGGCCACATCTGGCATGTTTGGGGTGTAATTTCTGCACTCAGGAATTACTTCTGGTGGGGCTCAGGCTGGAGTGATAGCACAACGGTAGGGTGTTTGCCTTGCGCGCAGCCAGCCTGGCTGAGCCAGGTTCGATTCCTCTGCCCCTCTCGGAGAGCCTGGCAAGCTACCTGTGACATATTCAATATGCCAAACACAGTAACAAGAAGTCTCAC